GATACGCGAGAACTGCAGAAAGGCTAATGCGTGAAGGCGCAGAAGGCGGCGAGGAGGTGCTCAGCGAGGAAGCAGAGGACGAAGTCGAGATCGAAGAAAGCGAAGGGGGTGACCCTGCTTTTAACCCAGAAAGAGAGGGGATGTTCGAAGCAGAGGCCGAGGAGGACGAGGCAGAGTTAGAGCTGCTACTTCGAGAAGTGGAGTTCCCAAACCAGCAGGCCCGAGGCGACCCCGCAAACTGAACCACATATCGAAATCGAACCGCGGGGGGAAATCGTGCAAGGGGGGGAAATCAAGCCGCGACAGAAGACGGAATTGACTCTGCAGCGGCCAATGAAAATCCAGAAGCCCCTAATCCAACCCCCCCGATGCTCAAACCTGACGACCTGGCGAAAAACACTGACATGTTCGCCCAGGTTGCAGACTGGGACCCTGACCCGTTGCGCGACAGTCGCCAACCTCCTCTCGCCCGCCACCCCCCCAAAGACCTTCGCGACTCCTTCGCGATCTGCATGTTGACACCGTTACTCCACCTGGCGGCCAATCCCGAGTCTCCACCTGGGTGGAAGTTACTGACCTTCCTCCCGCGCTTACTTCTTCGCAGCTCGTCAGCCCGTAAGCCTGACTGGAGCGCGATGATGAACCGGCTCCTGCGTTTTCGCCAAGGGTTCTGGGCCGACCTATACGAAGAAGCTGTCCAGGCGATTTCCCTGCCACCGCAACCTCGCCACGCACCCGACACAACTGGAATTCTGGCAAGGGCGGAAGGACTGGCAAAACGGGGTAACCTGTCAAAATCACTTCAATCCCTCCAGGCCACTCCTGTGTCACCAGCCTCACCTGAAGTGTTGGAAGCCCTCACGGCGAGACACCCACCTGCCTGCCAACTACTCCCCGATCGGCTCCACACTGCCGCGGCGGAAGACCCACCCACTATCGAAGCCCGCGACTTCAGGCGTCTCCTCGCCAAGCTCCCCAACGGAGTCGGGGCCGGGCCTTCTGGAACCACCTTCGAGCACATCCGCGATGCAGCCCTTGGGAATGCCGAAGTACTCACCCACCTCCTCGCCCTCTCTAACACGGCCCTAGCAGGAAAACTCCCCTCGGTCGCAGGGGAACTCCTAACGGCCTCCCGCCTGTTAGCCTTTACGAAACCTCAAGGAGGGACGAGGCCGATCGCGGTGGGAGAGTGTCTCCTCCGGATTATTACCAAAGCCGCTCTATTTCTGACCGCGCCGGCCGCTCGTACTCACTTTGCTCCCCTTCAGTTCGGAGTAGCAGTAGCAGGGGGGATCGAAGCGGCTATCCACACTGCTCGCACGTACCTGGAAGTGCACCCAGGGGCAGTGGCGCTACAGATTGACCTCGCGAACGCGTTCAATGCGGTCGAAAGGAGAGCGGTGTTCGAGGGGCTGAAAAACGAGGCGCTGAAGGATCTGATCCCCCTCGTCCGCCTATCCTATGGGGCTCCCTCCTCTCTCTACCTCGACCACGACTTCGGCGCCGCCCCGCTGCAGAGTGCCAGAGGAGTCCGCCAAGGGGACCCGCTCGGCCCCCTCCTGTTCGCGGCGAGCATCCACCCGTGCCTCGTTGACACGGCGGCAGCACACCCTCATGTGGTCCTGCTGGCGTACGCCGATGACATCACGCTGCTCGGCGACGCCACGGCCTGCACAGCGGCCTTTGTCCACCTCACATCAGCACTAGCCGCCCTCGGCCTGGTACACAACCCGGGAAAATGCGCGGCGTGGTCTGCCGCAGCAATCGACCCCTCTTCGGTTCCCCCAGGCATTAGCATCTCTGAAGAGGGGTTGCAGATTCTCGGCAGCCCAGTAGGCACACCCAGGGGCTGCGCAGGCGCTGTGAGAGAGAGACTGGCAGCAGCGGCAGCCCCACTCCCCCTGCTGGCCCAGATGGATCCCCAGCTTAGTCTCCTCCTCCTCACCCGCTGTGTCAGCCGCCGAGCATCTTTTCTGGCCAGAACCACCCCCCTGGAGGCCCTCCCGGAAGCGGAATGGTCTGCTTGGGGGGAACAGCTCCTACACACCTTCCTGGATTCGGCTCACATCAAGAGCCCGAGGAGTGCCAGGGAGAGACGGAGGATTTGGCGGCAGGCAGCACTGCCAGTCACTCTGGGAGGTCTGGGCATCACTGACCCCGCTGTTGAAAGCAGCTACGCCTACCTCGCTTCAGCGATCAGCGCTGCCCACCTGCTGCACTCCCTAGAGGACTCGTTGCACCCCGCTGTCGCCGCGCTCCTCCCCCTACTGGACCCGACCCACGGCTCCCCGCACGCGCTGCCTGCACGCCTCGCTGCAGCTGAGGCAGCTCTCCCCCCTGAGGCTCTCGAGGTGCTCCAGGCCGGGAAGGCAGACCCCAAGGGACTGAAGCTGCAGCAGAGCCTAGCGCTGGCGGTTCACTCCCACCGCTTCTTGAGAGTCCTGCGCGAGGCAAGGCGGATGCGCCCCAACCCCCGTTCTGGCCACGCGCAAAGGATGCAGTCGGTGCTAGGCCCAGGAGCGGGGGACTGGCTGCTGGCGATCCCGCTCATCCCCTCGCTCCGGATGGGCCCATCCCAGCTCTCTACTGCAGCTGCCTTCCGCCTAGGCCTTCCCCTCCCCGTGCCTAGACGCTGTGACTGCCGCTACCGCACCACCTTCCCCGACGATCGCCTCCCCAACCACCTCATGCGCTGCGAGAAGGGGAAAGGGAGGACCGCAACCCATCACGCTCTGCGGGATGAGATCGCGAACATAGGGGCTGAGGCGGGGTTTACGGTTCACAAGGAGACGTATGTCTACTCTCTGGTTGAAAACCTAAAGGCGGATGTCACCATCCGTCATCCCCTGACTGGAGAGGTTTGGATGTGCGACGTGACCGTGACGGACCCGGTGTCCTACCAGGACGAGAACTGCAACCGAGCTCCTGGATGGGCGGCTAGGGCGGCAGCGGCTAAAAAGGAGGAGAAGTACGCTCGACGGAACGCGTGGGTGGGGTTTCACGCGCTTGCAGTAGAAACCTACGGCTACCCCTCGCCAGGGGTGATGGCTTACCTGCGGCAATGCGCGGAGCTGGCGGCGAAGCTGCGTTTTAACGCAGCACCTACCTCCTACGAAGCAGCGAAGCTGCTGACGGAGTACCGCCAGCGCTGGAGCGTGTGCCTCCAGCGGGCGCAGGCCAACGCCCTCCGCACCAAGACCAATGAGGCCTTGGCGGCGGACGAGCTCAGCTTTCGGGGCCCCATCACCCCTCTCAGTGAAGAACAGCTGCACCAGTTGATCGAGGCCCCTTTCGACCAGTAGGGTCGGACAAGGGGGGGGGCGGAGTAGGTGGGGGACTTGAGGGGGATAGGATACCGGTTTGTGTGTTTGTTTATGCCTTGTGTTTGCATCTTCCTTTGTACCACCCCATATGAAATGCAAGGACCATTTGAGAGAGAGAGAGAACGAGAGAGGGAGAGAACTATAGAGAGAGAATGAGAGAGAGAGAGAGAGAGAGAGAGAGAGAGAGAGAGAGAGAGAGAGAGAGAGAGAGAGAGAGAGAATGAACGAGAGAGAGAGAACGAGAGAGGGAGAGAACTAGAGAGAGAGAGAACGAGTGAGAGAGAACGAACAAGAGAGAGAGAGAACAAGAGAGAGGGAAAGAGAGAGAGAGAACGAGAGAGAGAGAGAATGAGAGAGAGAACGAGAGAGAGAGAACGAGAGAGAGAGAACGAGAAAGAGAGAACGCGAGAGAGAGAACGAGAGAGAGAGAACGAGAGACAGAGAGAACGAGAGAAAGAGAACGAGAGAACGAGAGAGAGAGAGAGAGAGAGAGAGAGAGAGAGAGAGAGAACGAGAGAGAGAGAGAAAGAGAGAGAGAGAGAGAGAGAGAGAGGGAGAGAGAGAGGGAGAGGGAGAGAGAGAGAGAGCGAGAGAGAGAGAGAGGGAGAGGGAGAGGGAGAGGGAGAGGGAGAGGGAGAGGGAGAACGAGAGAGAGAGAGAGAGAGAGAGAGAGAGAGAGAGAGAGAGAGAGAGAGAGAGAGAGAGAGAGAGAACGAACGAGAGATAGAGAGAGCGTTCAATAAACTACGGTTTCGAAAAAAAACATGTGTTAAAACAAAATCTAAGCCGACCTAGTTTAGATCTAAGTCGTCCTAGGTTAGAATCAAGTCGACCTAACAATCATACGGATCGAACGAGTTTAAGTTGCAAGTTAGGAGGTTACCTAGCGAAAGTCCCGTAGCCCGTCAGTTTCGTAGCCCGTCAGCAGAACGAGAGGAAGTAGGAAAGCAAAAACGGATAAAGCAGAGAAGAAAGGGACGTCGAAACCCTAGAGCAGTTCAAATTTCGTCGCACAGACATTTAACAAACAAAATTAAAAAAGACAGTACACATGTCGTTTGTAGCGGAGTCGTAATCAAGTCGGTTAGAACCTTAAAGGTCATGTTCGATTCCAGCAGGGAAGGTGTTTAGCAGATTTTGGGTTACAATTAAAATCATTGTTGGAGCGTTCAAGTTTTGTACACTCTATTAGCTTTACAGGTTAATGTACTTTTGCAAAATGCTTCGCAACCTTAAGACGATTTCGTCGCAACCTTTTTTTTTTTTTTTTTTTTTTTTCATAAGGGTCCTAGAAAGCATCACTTTGTAAAAAAGGGTGCACAAGACAACCCGGCATAATAGTAAGGGCCATAAGAAGTTCCTCGTTCCATGTCATGGCAATGTAATGCGTTTGGTTGATGCGGAGTGGAGGTTCATTCAGAGTCAGGGGGCTGTACTATGTCCTACTGGTATTTGTGGAGGGCTCATCAGTAAGGCTATGGCCTATGGATGTACAGTAGAACTGCTTGATCGCTCTGAAACTTTAGCCTGACCTACCCAGTTCTTCAACACAACACTACGCTATATCTACAGCACTCCAGCTCTTATAATAGACAACCCCTATTACCGTATTTCTGGGGCAGAATTCGATTCTAGGGTCTATTGCCCAGCAAACGACTAAACAGTCCCAAAGAAGAATCACCCTGTGCCTCTAAACACCTGCCCATGCACGTAATCAGGGGCAGGGCCTGTCACGACTTCCCCGGGCCTCCTCTGCTGCTGATGCTGCTGCTGCTGCTGTTGGTGGTAGGGGTAAGTGGGGTTCGATCCATAATTGCTCAAGCCCATACCCATCCCTCCACTCGAGGGCGCTCCTCCCTGCTGTGACAGGTTCATGGGGGGCGGGTTACCACCGAAGAGCATTGCCTGCTGCTGCGGACTCAAGGCAGCCCCCCCTGGACTCTGCTGCTGCTGCTGCTGCTGCTGGTTATTCTGCTGTTGATGGGGGCTGGCACTTTGAGGAGCACGAGCCCAGGGCACAACATATGAAGCAGGCTGGTTCGGGCCTCCTGGCACAACCGTCCCGGTCCCATACGCACCACCCATGCCCCCTCCCATACCCCTGCCCATCCCACCGCCCAAACCTCCTCCCATGCCTCCTCCCATGCCGCCATACACCCCTGCGCCGCCATACCCTTGCTGTGGCTGCTGCTGGTACTGCGGTTGCTGCTGATACTGTGGTTGCTGGAAGGAGGACTTGAACGCATACGGAGCAGCAGCACCACCAGATGGGCCAGGGGCAGCAGTGGCTTGGAACGGCGGCTCGTCAAAAGGCGAGTCAAAGGGAGAAGAGGAGGCAGCAGGAGCATTGGAAGCGAAGGTGGGGGGGTGGGGTTGGGGAGGAGGGGTGATTGAAACAAGGTCGAGGCTGAGCAGGTCCTGGGTGGGAGGAGGGACGACCGTGGCAGGCGCTGCTGCTGCAGCGGCAGCGGCAGCTCGTGCTGCCACCAGAGATTGTTGCGGGGGCTGCCCTGCTTGACCTGCTGAGGCAGTCTGTGTCTGTGCTGGTTGGGAAGAGGACGGGCCTGCAGCAGCAGCAGAGGCAGAGGCCTGTGCCTCGTGGGACCTTCTCAGCCCGCCCTCCCCATCCTCCTCCTCTGTCTTGTCGCTCTCAAACCGAGCCAGGGGCAGCCCGGCAGTCACCCGCGCCGCCCACTCATCATACTGCTGCCCGCGGTTCACCACCCCACCCCCGCCTTCACCCCCGCCTTGGCCCTCGTTCTGACCGGGATAGGACTGGTAGGCCCCCGTGTGGGGAGGGGAGGCCCCGCCGCTGCTGCTGTCGCTGTGGCGGCCGTCTCCCCCGCGGTGCAGCGAGGAGGCGAGCAGGGCGCTGTGGCGGTCGAGGTGCTTCTGCATGTCGTCGTTCAGCGCCAGGCCCTGGAATAGAAACTGCTCGTCGCTGTGGGGTACAAATGTGCGAGGATGGATGGAAGGGGAATGGAAATGATGGGACAAAAAATGTAAGAAGGGGGGGGACAATGAGGGCGCTGTGGCGGTCGAGGTGCTTCTGCATGTCATCGTTCAGAGCAAGGCCCTGGAAGAGAAACTGCTCGTCGCTGCATGCAGTGTTGGGCCATGGAAGGAAGGGGACATTCAGAAAAATCGTAAGAATTTGCGAGAAGAGGGGAGAGGAGAGGAGGAAGTAGCAAGAAGGGTGATGTTGAGATTTAGGTGCCTCTCTGCGCTGTTGAGCGCCAGGCCCGGGGTTTTGCGGCTTGAATAAAAACTGCTTGTTGCTGGCGGTTTGAGGCTACAGGGTTAGAAATCAAGGAGGACGGAATGCAAAAAGGGTCAAGAGGGACCTGACACTCTCCCCACTGTACTCTGCCTATGCAGTCAAAGTTAAGCACATGAAGATGCAGCAGAAACAGCACTCACGTGGATGTGTTGAGTGCGGCTGTGAGCTGCTGCTGCAGCGTGCGGGTCTGCTCCACCAGGTCGCTTATCACCTCGTCACTGGCCGCCTGCCACACTCACACACACACGCACACGCACAAAAGCACAAGGTATTTTTCTAAGTTGCTGCCACATATTGACACCATGGCTCCAAACTGGGGTTCCATTGTGCGAGTCTGCTCCACCAGGTCGCTTATCACCTCGTCACTGGCCTCCTGCCACACTCACACACACACAAACACACGCACACACACACGCACACACACCCACACACACACACGCACACACACCCACACACCCACACACACACACACGCACACACACCCACACACCCACACACACACACACACACACCCACACACCCACACACCCACACACCCACACACACACACGGAACTTATCACCTCGTCGCTAGCCGCCTGACACAAGGGAAGGGAATGTGGAGATACTAGAGGGGGCAGAAGGAAACGAGCAACAACAAGAGGTTTATCAAGCAGAACGACTCAGTGTGGGTTCAGTAACTGGAAGGCAGGGAGATGTGAAAGGATGCTAGTATGGAGCTAATGGATAGAAAGAGAGCTTGGTGTTTGGAGGGGGTATGGGAAGGGATTGGGGAGTGGTGGGGCATGCTGGATGGGTGGTGGTGGCTCAGGCCCGTTGAACGTACCGCAGGGTTATTGGCATCCAGTGTTGCGAGCATCTCCCCCAGAAGATCCACCGTGTTGCGCGCATTCACCAGGTCGGCCGCCCTGTGGGTGCGTGGGAGAACAACACGGGGAGAGGAGAGTGTCCATGCAGAGAGAAACAAAAACGCATAGAGAGGGGGGTTTGGTGATTCCACACAGGAAGCATTTTCCCCAGCAGTCACCAGTAGCCCTGTGACGGATGAGGGGGAGGGGAGTGGGAATGGGGTGGGATCATGTGTAAACGTGTTCAGCATGTCAGCGTGGCAATAAGGGGAAACAGGAATGAAGGGGGAGAAGAAGGTTGGAAGAAGGGCCGGGGAGGCAGGGACGGAGGGGGGGGAAGGGAGGTGTGGTGGGTATGCTGGTCTGGGTGGGGAGTGCTGGGCTGGGGTTTATGCACTCACCAGCTTTCCCTCCTGTACAACACAGGATGGTTTGCCAAGCAAACGCACAGCTTTGAATCGACTAAAAATTGTTTGCGTGAGTCGCAAGATTGGAGCTTGCTACCGCAAAGCAAACAGGAGTTTTGGAAGTGAGAAAAGGGTGAAATGTGGAGTGAAGAACCCAGCCAGGCAAGCAACCAGCACTCCCCACCCACCACTCCACTCCCCACCCCAGCACTCCACTCCCCACCCACCACAGCACTTCCCAACCCATCACTCCCCTGCCAGCACTCACGTCATGGTTGTTGCAGTCGTTGCCTGCAGCACATGCGGAGGAATCTCCTCCTCCCCCCTCCCCGCGCCCCCTGCCCCCGCACTCCCCACAGGGTACCCCATCACCACAGGCCGCCCGTCATAGCCCCGGGTCGTGTACGTCTGGGGCGGGTACGACTGGGGAGGGTACGTCTGGGGAGGGGCGTGGCTGAAGGGAGCAGCGGTGGGTTGTGTCTGGGGTGGGGTGAAGACCGGTACCACTCGGTTGGGGTCGCGCGGGGGGAAGGGAAAGCCCATGCGCTATGCAGGAGGAATGGGGGGGGTGGGGGGATGGGGAGAGAGAAGAGGCTGGGGAATAGGTTGGGTGCGGCATGGGCATGGGATGAGTATGTCAACCAATTGGGATGGGTGGACATTCCATTGAAACGTTGTGAACTATCCAGTAAGGTAGGGTGCGCTTTCCAATAGGGCTACGTTGAAATCACTTTTGAGAATTCTCACAATTGACTTCAACACGGCGGGGTGGTGAGCTTTCCGATAGGCTGGGGCAGGGTGAGTGAGCTTTCACAGGAACGTTCAGATCGAGGCACCCCTGAAAGAGGCAACCATTACACAACACAACCTTCTGCACATGCATAACTGGCAACTACCGCACAGCAACAGCACACACACGTGCGCTACCTGCCCTCACCTCACCTTGAGCTCATTATACGCCAGGAAGAGCTGCATCGGCCGCCCGTCTGCCCCAAAGCACAACTGCCCTCACCACATGCAGCATACATGTTGTGCCCCCTGCCCCCCGCTCCCCGCCTCCTGCCCCCTGCCCACTCCCCCCTCCCTTGCCCCATGCGCCCTGCCCCCTGCCCCACCCCTCTTCCCCCCTGCCCCCTGCACCCTGCCACCTGCCCCCTGCCCCCTGCTCGCCCCACCCCCCCTCCCCCCTCTGCCCCCTGCTCGCCACCCCACCTTGAGCTCGTCATACGCCAGGAAGAACTGCACGGGCCGTCCACCTGCCCCTCCGAACGCCTCCTGCCACACGTCCAGCAGCTCCAGTATGCGCACGCGCACCTCCTCGTCGCACTGGGAGGGGGGGGGGGGGGGAGGGGGGGATGGGGGGGTGGGGGGGGGAGGGGAAGTGTATATGGGTATAAAACTCAGAAACCCCTCCGAACGCCTCCTGCCACACGTCCAGCAGCTCCAGTATGCGCACGCGCACCTCCTCGTCGCACTGGGAGGGGGGGGGGGGGGGAGGGGGGGATGGGGGGGTGGGGGGGGGGAGGGGAAGTGTATATGGGTATAAAACTCAGAAACCCCTCCGAACGCCTCCTGCCACACGTCCAGCAGCTCCAGTATGCGCACGCGCACCTCCTCGTCGCACTGGGAGGGGGGGGGGGGGGAGGGGGGGATGGGGGGGTGGGGGGGGGAGGGGAAGTGTATATGGGTATAAAACTCAGAAACCCCTCCGAACGCCTCCTGCCACACGTCCAGCAGCTCCAGTATGCGCACGCGCACCTCCTCGTCGCACTGGGAGGGGGGGGGGGGGGAGGGGGGGATGGGGGGGTGGGGGGGGGAGGGGAAGTGTATATGGGTATAAAACTCAGAAACCCCTCCGAACGCCTCCTGCCACACGTCCAGCAGCTCCAGTATGCGCACGCGCACCTCCTCGTCGCACTGGGAGGGGGGGGGGGGGGAGGGGGGGATGGGGGGGTGGGGGGGGGAGGGGAAGTGTATATGGGTATAAAACTCAGAAACCCCTCCGAACGCCTCCTGCCACACGTCCAGCAGCTCCAGTATGCGCACGCGCACCTCCTCGTCGCACTGGGAGGGGGGGGGGGGGGAGGGGGGGATGGGGGGGTGGGGGGGGGGAGGGGAAGTGTATATGGGTATAAAACTCAGAAACCCCTCCGAACGCCTCCTGCCACACGTCCAGCAGCTCCAGTATGCGCACGCGCACCTCCTCGTCGCACTGGGAGGGGGGGGGGAGGGGAGGGGGGGATGGGGGGGTGGGGGGGGGAGGGGAAGTGTATATGGGTATAAAACTCAGAAACCCCTCCGAACGCCTCCTGCCACACGTCCAGCAGCTCCAGTATGCGCACTTGTACTTCCTCGTCGCACTGAAAGGGGGGAGGGGGGGGGAAGGAGGGGAAACGCAACAGCATCCCACCCAGATAATGTACGGAAACAATGAAGTGACAAGACTACCGTTTCTCAAATGAGAACGCGTGACCCATCGATGCATGCAACTATGCAGCCAGCGCAGAGCAGGGCAGAGCAGGGCAGAGCAGGGCAGAGCAGGGCAGAGCAGGGCAGAGCAGGGCAGCCCCCCAGCACGCACCTTCTTGCGGGCGATCTTGGCCATCTCCGCAGGCACGTCTTTTTCAGCCACCACGCGGTGCACGTAGGCCGTGCAGTTCTTTATCAGCGTCTCCAGGAGCTGAGGGGTGGGATCGGATGGCATCATGCATGCGTGCACAGCGGTGCACAGGAGCGCTCAGGGACAGACAGGGGTGCACAGGAGCGGACAGGGGCAGACGGGGGCGCACAGGGGCACACAGGGGTGCACAGGGGCAGACGGGCCGCACACGGGCACACGGGGGAGCAAAGGGGCGCAGAGGGGCGCAGATGGAAACGTACGGGGATGGATATGGGACACAAGGGGAGATTCCAAGAGGAGCTGATCCAGGGAACAGGAATAGCTGTGGTACGAGAACAGGTCAGGGGCGTACCCATGGGTGTGCGTGAGCATATGAAAAGGAAAGAGAGCAGCGGAAAAACAAAAACAGTTTACAATTTACGAGCCAAGCACCGGAACGTTGAGCGTACAGTGAGCGCGAGGAGCTGTGTCTTCCTGTTCTTGCTGCCGATGCGCTTCCTCACTGCCCTCACCACGTCCTTCACTTGCCTGCCACGCACGCAATGATGGACACACTAGCACCCTTTTCAACACACTTTTGACACACTCTTGACGCACTCTTGCTGCCGATGCGCTTCCTCACTGCCCTCACCATGTCCTTCACTTGCCTGCCACGCACGCAGGCGACGACCGCAATGATGGACGAAAGGAGCAAGTCTCTTGAGAGGAACTACCCAGCCTTCAACAAACCCTTGATACCAGATACGATAACGAATACGCCGCTAACCCGGAGCGTTACCATAAACGCACGGATTAAAACGTCTTTAAGATTAAGCTGCTCACCCGGAGCTGGCGTTGAGCAGCTACGAGCTCTCGTGAGCGCACGGGCCGTTAACGACATCTTTAAATAGCATCTCACCCGGAGCTGGCGTTGAGCAGGTCGCAGAGCTGCATGTTGAGCGTCCAATCAGGGCTCGCCAGCAGGTCGCTCGTCGCCTTATCCACCAGCTGCACCGCCGTCGATTGCGACGACGAAAACATGGCTCTCGCTCGTTTCGATCGTTCACTCGCTCGCTCGTTCGCTCGCTTGATCGATCGCGCTCGTTCTCTCGTTCGCTCGCTCGCTTGCTTCCCTTGCTGCTGCACGGAACGGCGGGAGACAAAGGTTTGAAACGAAGGGACGGCACGGAGGGAAGAAGTCAAAAGCGGTTGCTTTGACAACTTGAGGCGGTACGGCCGTCGACTGCGACGAGGAAGGTACGGTGCTAGCTTCGTAGCGCGCTGCGGTGCCACCGTTTGCTGCCACGGACATGGTCGGTAGTAAGTACGTGATAGGCGGGGAAATCGGAAATCGTCAATTTTCAAGAAAGGAAGGAACCGTTGAACGATGTGAAGATCGGGAAAGGGAACGCATGAAACAGATACACCATTTTGTGGGGTGAGGGAATACGCGCGGCTCAAAGGGGTCTAAACATAAAGCGTATATTAAATAGGCTTTCAGGCTTACTGCGTTCAGGCGAGAAGTGCCAGAGGGAGCAGCGAAATTATTTCATTCCCGCAAAATAGCGCCACATGCCAGTGGCGAGCAATGACCACTGTAGAAATACTACGAACCTGAACGGCGCTAACAGGGACCTAGGCACCTAATGTGGATGAACCACTGGGAAAAAGCAGGGAGCAACTGTTTTTGCCTGTGAGTGCATGCAAATTACGCAGCAAATTTGCAGTGATGCCCGATATAAGATGAGCGCGCGTTAGTACACGAAGTCATTAGAGAGGCAGGGCAAGGGCAGTACACCAAGAGGGAGCCTGTAGTGAGGGGCTGCCCATGGCGGCGGGAGCAGCTGGTGGTGAGTTGGAGGTTGGGCACGCGCGGCGGTTGAGCACAGAAGTTGCCGCGAGGAACCACGGACTGTTTTAGGGGCGGGGTGCAGAAGGTGGTGGAAGGGGGGAGAGGGGAGGAGCGGGGGGGGGGAGGTGAGCGGGGGGGGGGGCTGGGTGGGGGGTTGTGAAGGTGTATACCGAGTATAGATAAATTTGGGCCAAGAAAAAAAACCCTGGAAAACTCTGGAAGTCAGAAAATAACATTACATTTTAAAGCTCAGGTATAGCTAAACAACTCATTTTCACAATATCATTACGATTTATGAATTCCCCCGAATTTATGGTGTATTTTTGGGCAAATATTTTGCATGAAATTGTTCATGTTGTTTGCAACACATGCAGTATTGTGTATTGTGTGTACAGCATATCAACCAATCATGTATAGGTGAACTACAAAAGGGTTCTACTCTGTGATTAAAGTGATTGTCAATATAGCGGAGACCGCTGAATCTGACTTTCCGCATTCTCCTGACTTCACCTCCTGGGGCACCTGCGCGTTGACCAGGCTGACTGGATTTGCTGTGCCCCACGGATAGGAGCAAACCACACGAGGAATGGTGGCGCCACGATGCGCCTGCTTCGCCTACATTGACGGTCACTGATCTCCGTGTTCTGCGGAGACGAGTGAGGCATCGAATGTCAAATGTCTCGTCTCGGCAGCAAGAATGTAGGAAATGCTGCTGCGACTGGGATGCCCGAAAACGAAATAACGACAAATATCTGTGCATTTCTCTTATCAAACTTTAGAGACTCATACCCCCAACCTGGCATCACTGTTTCTCACGGGCTTTTATGAAGAATTTTCTCAAGCTCTTCGGTTTCGCATATCTGGAATTTCCCGTTTCCTTACCCTCAAAATGTCGATGAACAAACATCGACCCGTCGTGTCCTGCCAGGTAACCCGCCGAAAGCGTCATCTGAAAGTCGCATCGGCAGCATCTATCTGGCCGTCGCGTCGGCAGCAACTACAGTATCTGGCTGTTGGCAGCACATTACATTACACCCAGGTTTCCCGCAGCGCGAAACTGTTGAAGGTGTGCTACCCAGGAAACATTTCGTAGGCGTAACACTTCTCAACCGATGTTGGGTTTCACGGAACCGTTCCGAAACAATCGTAAACCTTCTCGAATGTGACCACCATTTGACACCCCGTGGCGCACACCCTCGCAGCCCATAAATAGCACTCCACTGTCTTTCAAAAATCCAGGCGTTCAATTTGTTCGGCTCTTCAACGAGTTACAAATCCAAATTTCATCACTCCTCTCTCGAACTCTCGGTCACCTCCGAGATTTCAGTCTAAACGATGGGGCTCCAGCGCTACGCCGGCTTGGCGATTTGCCTCTTGGTCATCATCGCAAGCGTCGGTAAGTGAGCCTCGCACTCAACTAACAACCGCTTGATCTATCATCCGTTCAATTCCTGTACAAGGTGATATGACGCTCTTCACAATTCTAATATTCTGTGTGGTTCTTCCGCAGCGACCACGACGGCGCAAGCCCCGAAGGACAGCCCCTGCACGCTGCCCAAGCCCGACCAGGCTGAAGCTCTCGGGACTCTGACTGGTAAGAAGCTCTCGGGAACATGTGAGACTGATCACTCTGCCAGAGTTCCCGTAGGTACTGCTGAGGATCTGACACTCTTGTAATTCCCGTGGGGCTGTTCGTCGCACATCGTGCGTGTGGTGGCATGTCGTTCCAAGGAACGACGCCGTTGCAAACATCTCTTCCGAGGCGGCCGCCGCTGGGTTCATCCGAAGTTACCCACCGTGGGTGACATTGTGTCAACAGCTCCGTGACTTTTTGGGGACTGGGCTGCTGACGTTTTTGTGACTTCCGACTCGGAAGGTGACGGGGTGGTTTGAAGCTTCCGTCCATGACTAAAAAGTCCCAAGAACCGTAATGTCACATTTCCGCGACTTTCTGCACTTGCCTTTTCCGCGATGACCCTTCCCCTCCAATCTCCTTTCCCGCTTCGCTCGCCCCACCCCCCTCCCCTCCCCTCCTCCCCTTCTCTCCGCGCAGCGATTCTCTCCACGCCGGTGAGCGGATCCTTCGGCGGGTGGACGGGCGACGTCAACGCCAGCGGTCAAGTCTGCCTCGCCGTCTACGGGTAAGTCTCCACGCAATCTCCATGAGCGTGCCCTTTCTACTTCCTCCACTTTTCAGCTCCTCTCTCTCTTCAAATGTTGCAACTCTCACCCTCCCCTTGTTTCACTCACATTGACTTATTCCGTCAGGTTAAACGGCGATTACAACATCTTATACAGCGTCGTTGCCTCCAAAGCAGACGCCGGCGAGCCGACCTTCGCCGGCATTACGAAAGACGTGGGGCAGGAGAGACTTGTCGCCGTCTTTTTCTCGCCCCCAGGGATCGATGGCCCGTGGGCGGATCTTACGCCACTTCCCACGCCAAAGCAGAGCAGGAAGAGCCTGGTCGACGCACCCGCTTCCCCAACAACGTACACCTATGCCCTTAACGGAACGTGGCTTAAAGCGAGTACGCTGACCACGTTCCAAGGGGACACTTACAAAGCGCTGGTGGATTCGATTGTAGCGGGGCCGGAGGGGTACTGCACAGGGTTCGGGACGACGGCTTTCCAGGCGGGAGCAGCCATGGGGCAGTTTCAGGTTCAGACCGTTGCCGTCAAAGCATAAGGAGAATGACATCACAAGAACCAGGTCCGGTTTTCGGCTGGTTTTCAGTCCGAAGACAGTACCCGCGGCTGAAATCAGGCTGGAAAGCATGGTCGTTTTCAGTCTGAAACCAAGGCAGTGGGTCGAGTGGTTTTCACATGATTTGCGGGCGTGACTCAGCCACATTTCAGGGCTTTGTTCCCGACCGGGTTCAGAATGGTTTCGGGCCGAGATTTGTTACAGTTACAAGGTACGGGCGCGATTCGTTTTAGGGTTCCATGAATGAGTACACCATAAATATATGTACTCGCTCTATAAAGGAATTTGTGTTTGTTTGCTATTGCATTTTATAAATGCAATTCTGGATAATTCTATAAATTCAAAATGCCATTATTTTTTATTTGCTTTGTTCACCACCACTGCAGACCCCAAAGAGAGTATAAACCAAAACTAGCCCATGAGGCTTTTAAGACAGGATTATAAAGTCTATTACCTATGCTACCAGAAACTCAAAGCGTGACGCTATCTTGTGTCTTTTCTAGCTCAAGTACGGGGGAGTTGTGGGAAATCAGATGCATCAATGCTAACACCATGGCCGCCAAACACATATGGCTGCGCTGCGCAATCATAGGGAACCGCCAACTTGAGCACGGAATGCTCCATCCACCGGCAAACCCTGTCACATGTCTCATGAAACTTTGTGTGGTTCTCACTCTGGTCGTTGCTCAGCTTGCCATCAGTGGCCTTTTCCAGCAAAGGGTTTTCCAGCTGCAACATTGGTGTATGGGTGATAGGGGCAAGTTGGGGCATGGGTGTGAGGGGCACATTGGGGTTTGGGTGAGGGGCAGATTGGGGTGTGGGTGAGAGGGACAGATTGGGGTATGGGTGTGAGGGGCAGATTGGGGCTTGGGTAGGAGGGACAGATTGTGGTATGGGTGTGAGGGACAAATTGGGGTTTGCTGTGAGGGGCAGATTTGGGTGTGTGTATGAGTGGTAGCTGTGGAACATAAATGCGTGCCATACTATTTACAGTGAACAACGCGAAAGCCACCATGCGTGACTTCCAAGCCACGAGGTGCACACCACGCCTCGTGAACGCCCTCCTCATTGCTACGGCGAAGAGCTTCGTGGAAAAGGGATGTTGGGTGATGGGGTTTACATGCCATCCTGGGCCCCAATCTGACCGGGGCAGATTCGGGTACGGGTGTGAAATGGGCAATTTGTTGTATGGGTGTGAAAGGGAAGACATGGGAAATGGGTGTGAGGGTGACAGATTGGGTTATGGGTTTGAAAGGGGCTGATTTGGGTATGGGACGGAAAGGGGCAGATTGGGGTACAAATGTAAAGGGGCAGATTTGGGTACGGGAGGGAAAGGGGCATTTTGAAGTACGGGTGTTAAAGGGGCAGATTTGGGGCAAAACAGAGAACTTGTGTGAGGGGTGAAGCATGAGGTACATGTTAAGCTCTTAGGCAAAAGGTGATCGACTATCGAGAGTGTTGGTACAAAATGAAAACCTAAGGGGT